CAAGGAAATAACAGAATGGGCTCAGGAATACTTCCAGAAAGCATTGTCAGTGAACACAATCCACCGTGCCATCCGCCGTTGCCAGCTGAAACTCTACAGTGCAAAAAGGAAGCCATTTCTAAGCAAGCTCCACAAGCTCAGACGTTTGCACTGGTCCAGGGGTCATTTAAAATGGAGTGTGGCAAAATGGAAGACTGTTCTGTGGTCAGATGAGTCACGATTTGAAGTTCTTTATGGAACACTGGGACGTCATGTCATCCGGACCAGAGAGGACAAGGATAGCCCAAGTTGTTATCAACGCTCCGTTCAGAAGCCTGCATCACTGATGGTATGGGGTTGCATGAGCGCTTGTGGCATGGGCAGCTTGCATGTCTGGAAAGGCACCATTAATGCAGAGAACTATGTTCAGGTTCTAGAACAACATATGCTCCCATCTAGATGTTGTCTCTTTCAGGGAAGACCCTGCATTTTTCAACACGATAATGCCAGACCACATTCTGCAGCAATCACAACATCATGGCTACGTAGAAGAAGGATCCGGGTACTGAAATGGCCAGCCTGCAGTCCAGATCTTTCACCTATAGAGAACATTTGGCGCATCATAAAGAGGAAGGTGCGACAAAGAAGGCCCAAGACGATTGAACAGTTAGAGGCCTGTATTAGACATGAATGGGAGAGCATTCCTATTTCTAAACTTGAGAAACTGGTCTCCTCTGTCCCCAGACATCTGTTGAGTGTTGTAAGAAGAAGGGGGGGGGGATGCCACACAGTGGTAAAAATGGACTTGTCCCAACTTTTTTGGGATTTGTTGACGCCATGAAATTTGGAAACAACAGATATTTCCCTTAAAATGATACATTCTCTCAATTTAAACTTTTGATCTGTGATTTGTGTTCTATTCTGAATAAAATATTAGATGGTGGCACCCCCACATCATTGCATTCAGTTTTTATTCACAATTTGTTTAGTGTCCCAACTTTTTTGGAATCCGGTTTGTATATTTTATATGTGCGGCTTATACACATGTGCACGTTGTAGCCCGACAATTACGGTAAATCAGCTCAGTGCAGTACCACAGATACCCACTTGGTGTTGTGAGCATGACAGTAAAATGTTGGTTGGTCCATTGTATGAAAGGCAGCTGTTAGGTCTAGCAGAACCAGAACCACATGTTCACCAGAATCATTGGCCATAAGAATATCATTAAAAACTCTGACTAGAGATAATTCTGTGCTGTGGTGAGTTTTGAAGCCAGACTGAAAAACCTCCAGGATATTGTGCTCATCCAGAAAACATTTTACCTGTGAATATACAATTTTTTCTAAAAAATTTTAAATAAAAGGCAGCTTGGAGACGGGCCAAAAAATTAGCCAAGACAGTTTGTTCTAGGCTTTTTAAGCAGGGGCTGCACCACCGCATGTTTAAAACTTATTGGGACAACACCTGAGGACAGACTGCTATTGATAACAGCAAGAATCACCTGCCTTATGCTGGAAAACTTTTTTCTTCTCCTTTCTTCTTTTTCTTTCGGCTTTTCCCTCTTCAGGGGTCGCCACAGCGAGTCATCCTCCTCCACCTCACTCTGTCCTCTGCATCCTCTGTCCTAACTCTAACTACCTTCATGTCCTCTCTAACTGCATCCATATATCTCCTCTTTGTCTTTTTCCTGGCAGCTGCATTTCTAACATCTTTCTACCATTATACTCACAGTCCCTCCTCTGGACATGTCCAAACCATGTCAGTCTGGCCTCCCTAACTTTATCTTCCAGTTGTTCAACCTGTGCTCTACCTCTGATGATCTCTTTCCTAATCTTATCCAGCCTTGTCACTCCTAAGGAGAACCTTAGCATCTTCATTTCTGACACTTCCAGTTCTTTCTCCTTTCTTTTTGCCACTGTCTCCAGACCATACAATATAGCTGGTCTCACCACTGTCTTCTAAATTTTTCCTTTGACCTTTGCTGACACCTTTTTGTCACAAATCACTCCTGAAACTTTTCTCCATCCACTCCATCCTGCCTGGACTCGCTTTTTCACTTCTTTACCACAGTCCCCATTTTCCTGGACAGTGGACCCCAAGTCCTTGAAGTCCTGCACCTTTGTGACCTCTGCTCCTTGTAGCCTCACTGTTCCACCTCCTCCCTCTCATTCACACACATGTACTCTGTCTTACTACGGCTGACTTTCATTCCTCTTCTTTCAAGTGCATACCTCCACGTCTCCAAGTTCTCTTCCACCTGTTCCTTGTTCTCACCACAGATCACAATGTCATCTGCAAACATCATCGTCCATGGGGATTTTTGCCTGACCTCATCTGTTAGTTGGTCCATCACCAGAGCAAACAAGAAGGGGCTCAGACCCGATCCTTAATGCACTACCACCTCCACCTTGAAGCTATCTGTCACTCCTACAGCACATCTCACCACTGTCCTGCTGTCCTCATACATGTCCAGTACCAGTCTAACATACTTCTCTGCCACTCCAGATTTCCTCATGTAACACCACACCTCCTCCCTCGGCACTCTGTCAGATGCTTTTTCTAAATCCACAAAGACACAATGGAGTTCTTTCTGACCCTCTCTGTTCTTCTCCATCAGCATTCTCAAAGTAAAGATGACATCTGTGGTGCTCTTTCTTGGCATGAAACCATATTGCTGCTCACAGACAGTCACCTCTCGTCGAAGTTTTGCTTCCACAACTCTCTCCCAGATCTTCATCGTGTGGCTCATCAACTTATTTCCCCTGTAGTTGCTACAACTCTGTACATCACCCTTGTTCTTAAAAATGGGCACCAGCACACTTCTTCTCCATTCCTGAGGCATTTTCTCACTCTCAGATATGCCATTAAATATTATATTATTATTATTATTATTATTATATAATAATATTATAATATATGAATATTGAAAACACCTTTTAAAAAACGAGGGGGGACAAGGTCACAAGGAGAACCTGATGGCTTAATATGGCTGACCACATCCTCTAAAAGGGTCAGGGTCACTGGTTCGAATCTATCAAACACAGTCAGGCAGGGGACCAAGCAGGAGGGGTCAAAAGCAGGGGCTGAAATAAGAGCCCTTGTGGTAACAACCTTATTTATAAAAAACTGCAGGAAGTCATTACAAAGTTCAGTAGAGGCTGGTGATCAGAAGATGATGGATGGACGGACGGACAGACGGACGGACGGATGGATTATGTTGCATTAAGGTATACTTTCCTTAAATGCTTGGTCTTTGGGGAGGCTCACCCCCTGGCTTCACCACTGCACCTGGTGGTGGATGAAACTTCTCTTCACTCACCAGGATTCATCACTCTGCGCTGCCTCAGACAAGAAAACTTGCTCTGTTCTTCTCCACAGTGTAACTCCAGTCTCAGTATATTGCATCATGTCAAAAACTATCGGTACAAACATTCACTATTTAAATCCGTCTGCGATGGGGACATCCATGTACTGCTTGTTTAGATTCATATTTGATGAGATTGAGAAGCAACCCACTGTCAGTTCCAAGAAGACCTGACAGGAGAAAGAAGTTCTGCACTAAGTATCCTGATGCATGCTCAATAATCCAGGTAGAAAAATCCAAAAAAGTTCAATCTGGTCCTCTGGACATTCAAAAAAACAAAAAACAAAACAAAGCAAAAAAATATAGAAACGTTTCGTCTCTCATCCAAGAGACTTCCTCAGTCTGAGGTGCTGTTTTCAGCTCAGTCTCTTAAATAGCACCTTCTTAGAGTGGATCAACCAGTTTTGCTGCTGACAACCAGAACCAACTGATCACATGGTCAAGAAGGACCATCAGCCTAACAATGGATCATTAGCACACTGATGGCTGTTTACTACTCACAGAGGGCTGAGTGATACTAGCAATCACAGCATTGTAAGAGGGGGACAGTTGAACCCGGAGGCCTCCACCCCTGTTTAATGATGGACGATTTCTTTTCACAAAGATGGCCTCCTTTACTCCTCTCTCAAACCATCGTTCCTCTCTGTCCAGGATGTGAACATCTTCATCCTTGAAAGAGTGACCGCTGGCCTGGAGATGAGTGTAGACCTCAGAATCCTGGCCTGATGATGTTGATCTTCTGTGCTGGGCCATCCTTTTGGCCAGTGGCTGTTTAGTTTCCCCAATGTAAGACTGATCACAGCCCTCCTGACACTGAACAGCATACACAACATTACTCTGTTTGTGCCGGGGGACTGGATCTTTGGGATGAACCAGTCTTTGCCGTAATGTATTTTGTGGTTTAAAAGCCACTGGGACGTTATGTTTAGAAAATAAACATCTCAGTTTCTCTGATACCCCCTCAACATACGGAATGACCACTGGTCTGGGTTCCTCCTTTTCACCTGTTGGCTGACTGGAGTCCTGTTTGGGTTTCTTCTCTGCTTTCAGGAAGGCCCAGTTAGGATATCCACATTGCTCTAGAGCCTGTTTTGTGTAGGATTTCTCCTTCTGCCTGGCTCCCGAGCTAGTGGGGATGCTGTCTGCTCTGTGGTACAGAGTCCTGATGACTCCTAACTTGTGCTCCAAAGGGTGATGGGAGTCAAACTGCAAATACTGGTCTGTGTGGGTGGGTTTGCGGTACACCTCGGTTTGCAAATGTCCTCTATCCGAGACTGAGACCTCACAGTCCAAGAAAGCCAACTTGCCATTTTTTTCATCTTCTCGTGTGAACTTGATGTATTTATCCACAGAGTTGATGTGGTCAGTAAAATGTTGGACTTCCTGAGATTTAATTTTAACCCAGGTGTTGTCAACATACCTGAACCAATGACTTGGTGGTGTCCCTGAAAAGGACGTCAAGGCTCTCTTTTCTACCTCCTCCTCAGACTGAGGAAGTCTCTTGGATGAGAGACGAAACGTTTCTAGATTTTTTTTTGCTTTTGCTTTGTTTTGCTTTTGTTTTTTTGAATGTCCAGAGGACCAGATTGAACTTTTTTGGATTCTGCACTAAGTGTTTGTTCTTTGAGTGTTACAGTGTTACTCTGACTCCCCCCAGGTCACGCCTCAGTGGGGTTAAAGTTCACCACAAGAGACAGGTGCTGCAGGACATGGCCCGGCCCTTAAGACACTGGCTCTACAAGCACCGAGACAACCCCTACCCCACAAAAACCGAGAAGGTCCTGCTGGCCCTGGGCTCTCATATGACACTAGTGCAGGTGAGACCAGCTCAGGTGAGACAAAACCATTTCATTTCTGTGAGCCAGTTCTATGTTTTTAAACCCAGCCATGTGTGCGCAGGTTTCCAACTGGTTTGCGAATGCACGCCGAAGACTGAAGAACACAGTGAGGCAGCCGGGTCTGAGCTGGGCTCTGAGGATCAAACTGTACAACAAATACATCCAGGGGAACGCAGAGCGGCTGAGCGTGTGCAGTGATGACACACACTCTGAGGGTAAAGATAGAGTCTGGCCTCGTGGCTCGGCTGTGAGCAGCACTTCCTTCAATCTACCAGTTAGTCATGTGAATGTTTATGAAGCATGCACTCACTCTGATCCATTTTTCAGCATGTTTCTTGTTCCACAGTTTTTGTGCTATTTCAGCAAATCACCAATGAAAACGTTCAGCTAGATCAGGACAATCCTGCTTTGACTTTTGATTTTGGTGCAACTTTAGCTTTTTGAAATATTTAGCCTTTTCTGCCATTTTTTCCCTCAGAAAATGAATTGAGCTCATTTTACATTGTTCATAATTTTTGATGTTTTTACAACCTTTTACTGCTCCTTTCACATTTTGTTCTGTTTCAGCTTCTTTCAGCTTCCGTCTGCAAATTTAACAATTTTTCAGCTACTTTCAGCTAATTACAGCTGTTTTTCAGCTGTTTTGTTCTTTCAGATTCTTTCTGCTAACTACAATATTTATGTGCTTTTTTTCTAACTTATTTCTGCTAATTTCAGCTTGTTGTACTTTTTCAGCTACATTTTATAATTTTTTTTTAGCTAATTTCAGCTGTTTTCAGATAAATTCACATTTTTCATGGTAATATCTGCTACTTTCAGCCTAATTAGCAGAAAATAATTTCTGCTAATTTCAGCTTTTTGTGCTCCTTTCAGCATTTACTAATTGGCTTTTAAGTATGTGAATGTTTCTGTAAAGTGCCCTGAGACAACTTTGTTGTGATTTGACGCTATATAAATAAACATATTTCTGTTAGTTTCAGTTATTTCCGCTACTAAATAGACTGCACCTACATAGAGCTTTTCCATCTGCTCAAGACACTCAAAGCTCTTTACAACACAGTCTGTGCCTCATGTAACCATTCAGACAGCTCTCTACTAAGGGGCCGTTTACACGACGTGTATTTTGAGTGCATCCGCAGCTTTCTCTCTGCGGTTCTGCTGATCATTTACACGACACCAGTGGCCCCCCTCTATGAATCGGGAGGTTTCTGAACCCACCTTCCAGAGTGGAGGTTTTTCACTGACCCCCCACTGATAATGTAAACATCTCCCGCTGAGGCTTTGTGTTAAACCACATGTGCACACGCACGCGCGGACAGAGGGCATATTTCTATCAACATGGCGGTGGACACACTGCTTTCAGAACTACGACTGATGGAATATATATTTTAATCTCATAGTTAATCTACGTCAGATTCCAGGTGCTGTGACCGACATCTGTGTTGGAAGAGACACAGTCGGATGTTTATAGAACGAGGCACGCGCACACGTGGCGCTGCACTATAACATACTAAATGTGCTGAATAATAACAGTTTAATAATTGGGAAGTGGTGGCACAGAGGTTAGAAAAGGTGGGCCTGTGATCGGAAGATCACTGGTTCAAGCCCCGGTACAGACAACATCAAAAAGCGTGGGTGGGGTAGGTGAAGCGCCCACACCTGCCCCCACCCTCATTCGTCCCACTCTGGACCCTTGAGCAAGGCCCCTTAACCCCCACCATCTGCTTCTCCGGGTGTCCTAGAAAGCAGCTCTCTGCTCCACACAGAGGGCTGTGGTAGCTCGGTGGTCTGTGGTTGCGTCAGGAAGGACATCCGGTGTAAAAATAACTGCCAAGTCTTCGTGCGACTTAGGTCACTGTGGCGACCCCTAACGCAGAGAGCAGCCAAAAGAAGAAAAAATGACATAAAATAATAGTTTAATAATAATAAACAGTATTTATGTTAAGTGAGAGGTATAATGAAGCTCTCTGAGCTAAATGAAGCTATCTGGACATTATGTAATTCAAATTATGTGATTAAAATGATGTTAAACATATAGCATGTTATTAAAGTTGAAAATGAAGACATCAGGTTTAATTTTTATTTATTTATTCAACACCAAAAACTGTATGTCACACAAACACTGATAATTAAACTGAACACACTATTAAAACACGTTAACTGTAAACTGCATGAATGAACTGGACTCTTGTTTTCATTGTAGTATGTCAGGACAGCTTTTACTGTGGACATCCTATTAATTAATTATTCTTAAGGCTAGTTCAAGCACAAAGAATATTAATTGTTTAATTAACAATGGATTCTTTCTTTTTTTAGTTAAATTTCTGCCATGTGATCAAGATAACTTGAGAGTGGAGTGTATAATTAGTGACATGAGACGTCATTTATCTTTGACACATCAGAATAAATGCGGTCATTTATTTAACAGAATCAAAATTTTACATCAAACATGTACACTCGATTTGCTGATCTGTTTCTGATTAATAAACTTAGCAAGTTCAAATAACAAGACAACAAAGGATTACTGATGGAGAATAATTCATCTCTGAAGGCATTTAGCTTGATTTACTGGCAAAGAGGTTTCAAGGGGAGAAATTTAGAGGTTTAAAGAGGAGACTTAGATGGATGGATGGAAGTATGTTGACCAGGAATGGCATCCTTCATCCGACCCCAGCTCAGCCCCGGTACACTCGGTGCGTGACGACTCATGACGACTCGTTACCTTTGCAGAAGATAAATCAGCTGTGGTACAGAGGTCCATTTCAACGCTACCTTTCAGCGTCTCCGGTCAGGGTGGCTGAGAATCGTCCGAAGTAGTGACGGTACTCCGTTCAACAGAATAAGCTTCCTTAGAAGTTGAGAGCATTTAATGCTCGGGGTGAGATCACAGCGAGGCGTGCTATGACTCCGCTGAAATGGAGGGACCCTTGGCTCATGGTCAAATTCCATCAGCTATTTAGTTCAGCTGTAAGACTCCAGCAAGACTGCAGTCCCAGCAAGGCTCCAGTAAGACTGAATCCATAAAGACTGAAAGTTCCAGTCCAAACTCCAGTAAGACTCCAATAGTTCCAAGAAGTTTTGAATTTTAAAGGGTATCCACTTCCTGTTACTTGGTACTTCCTGATTAGTTACACAACCAGCAGGGGTGGAGTTTTAGTGATGTCAGAGGGTGCAGAGATGGTATAGAGGCAGGGCAGCCGGCTTGGGACCCGAAAGTCCCAGGTTCGATCCCCAGTCACTGCACATCACGTGGCGTCTCTGGGCAGCACGTCTCATCCCCAAAATGTCCCCCGGGCGCTTTCAATAGCTGCCCACTGCACCACCTGGTGGTGGATGGGTTAAATGCAGAGACTAATTTCGCCATTGTATGGAAACATACAGTGCTGACATTGTGATGACATTATCATTATCATTATCATTATTAGAAGTCACAGACAGCAGACATGTTTTTAAGAATGGTTAGTAAAAGACAGGAAAATATTTTGAAGAAGTGAGAGACTTGCAGGCGCCAGTTCTAATTTACTGTCTGAGAGTTGTTGTTGCTCCAGATGAGGTTGTCATTCATGTGTACACCCAAGTACTTGTAGCTGGAGACCACTTTCACCGCAGATCCTCTTATGTTCAGGGGGGTGTAGATGTTTTTGTTCCTTCTGAAGTCCACAATCATCTCCTTTGTCTTCTTCACATTGATGT